CTTTGCGAATATTTTAAAATCTAAACTTTGTATTAAATTCGTCTCTGTTTTCTTGGTCGTTTATATGACAGCACTACCATACATCGTTTTCAAAATTTTCACCATGTATACTCATTAGAAATTCACGAGGATCTGCTTAACCAATCGTAGTTTTTTCTTGGTCACACAACTTTAAACTTGGCGTTTCTTTAAAGTATTATACAACTGCATGGTTATATATCTAGTGCATTAATGTTACCTGTATACAGCTATTTCAATTAAGGTCGAATACAAGCGCGAAAGGCTGCTGGGAATCGCTAATAAATGAATGAATTTATTAAATAGCTGTATACAGGCTTAAATCGCCATAGGTAGATCTTTGTTATGCAGTTATGAAGATGACGCAATTCAAAGAACAGTTTCTCCAAGTTTCTATACAACTGTTAAAGATCATTTGCTACCTCCCACGTTGTCTTTTGAAACCAACTAACTATTTTAAGAAAACCGTGGGCGATAGTCAGCCGTGATAAATGAACCTGCATCATACATTTCTAAAGCTTTTTAACTATGCCGAAATTTTAAACTTTTCAAATATTTCTAAACTTCTTTCCTTTTGGGAAGAAATAGCTATTGTCTATAAAGATACAAGATTTAGTCATCGTCTTTATGGATTATTCAGCATTCAATTATTACAAGCTGAAACTTGTCTGTATACTTGCTGTGTCATACCAGAAAGTTCGAGCAGCACATTATTCAGGACACATGCTGGGTGGGCAGTTAATTGTTGTGCATGGTATTATTGATATATTTGTTTACGAGTGCCTGTTTTTAAACTGCTATCAGCTACCTTTTCGATTTTAATATTAGAAATATCACGACACTTTTGTAGTAACTATATATAGTAACTATTTTTAAACAATATATACACAACAGCAGAAGTGCTTCCAAACTGGCTATATTGATATTTATAGTATATAGTTGATTGATGTAGTTCAATGAAATGCGCTGACGCAATTCAAAAAATTTCTATTCAAATGTTAAAGATAATTTCTCACCTCCCATGATGCCTTGGTGTAAAATATTTCTCAAGCCTCAAGTCAACCTCGTCCCCAGGGCCTATTGAGGAAGGAGGCGAAGCAGCATCTTCGCATCTTTCCTCAAAAGGCCCTGGGGACGAGGTTGGCCTCAAGTACCTTCCAAATTTCTTTCGTTTGGGAGGGAAAAACTGTTGTATATATAAATATTAAATACTATATATTTTGTTATAATTATGCATGATTTACCTTTTATTAGGAGTTGAAATTTGTATATTTGCTGTCAGTGTTCGATGACTAAATTAGTCAAGGCACCTACCTGCACGCTGGATGGGAAAGTCGCTGTTGTATTTTTTATATAGTTAGTTTTGCGTGTCTGTTTCGAAGTGCTATCTATCCCTTTCCAGTAGCTTTTCCACTGAATCAATGAATTATCAGAATTTTTTTACAATATATATATATATCGACATTACACTGTCTTTGGATTGATATGGTTCAATGAAATGTGCTGACGCAATTCAAAAACAGTTCGTCCAATTTTCTATTGAAATGCTAAAGATAATTTCTTACCTCC